TTTTAAGATTGATACATTTTATTTTGCTCTGTTCAAAAACTGAAATCCTCATTTTGTGCCAAACAGTTGATAGATTCGGTCGCTATTTGAGTGAAATGTAGTAAAGTTAATTCCTTTAAATATAAGTTTTTATGTAGGTATTTTGTTTTTTTTTACTTTGTAAAAATAATACTATCAATAATCTGTTCTTGAAATTGCTTTTCTGTTATCATAAAACATACAAACACAATCAGACGYCTAACGAACTTGCWAATATATTTATCTCCACACTTTACATCTACAGAAATCTAGAGTACCTAGGTACTGACGTTACGGACGTGCGTACAATTCATTGCATTGCGTGGTTTCTGAATGCAACACAACCATTATACCAACCTTTATACGTGAGTGCTATTTTCCGTGTTGGACAAAGTAAACAGGACGCTTAGATTTCCTTTAATGTTTCCATACCATTARATACAGTTTGTGTAAATAGCCGAAATATTTACCAACTTACATCTCATACAATATAGGTAGGTATATTTATGTATAATATTTCAGTATTACTCCCGATTTTGAAAACAATCAGTCATATAAAATAAAAGATTAGTATAGGTTTTTATTTGTAGTAATAGGTACACTAACTATGATTATATTCTAATATAAAATATTATTTTTATTTTTTATTTTTTTGTAAGGATAACCCGCGACAATATAGGCCATTGGGTGTGGGGTGGTACGGTAGGGGTTATTTTTGTGTATTTGTTTGTAGGTTTTTAAGTGGGTAGGTTTGTAACACGTGTTTGTGTATATGTGGCAAGGATATGTTACTAAAAATCCCGGGTGGTCACCCATCCGGGAGCTAGCAACTGCGGCCGGTACGTACGCTCAGTGCGTTTCCGCAGATTGAGCGTACGACCGCGCCTCACCAAGCCACTAATATAAAATATTATTCTACTTATAAAGTATAACAGTGTTGTATCCATATATGCATAGAATAGTGGGTGTCTAAAAAGACTATACCCCATTGGAATTTTATTTAACCCACCCTCCGTTCCGTTATTTTTTTTTTTTAGTTATATTTGTAGATTTTATATGTTGTGTACTAGAAATTTAATAGGATATAATCCCACTTGTACCTATAATTCGATCGATTATTTTGCAAGGGATTATTATCTGTGAAAAAAATTAAGATAAGTATCAAGGAATCTATATGTAGGTATAACCTATAGTTATTAGAATAGTCTATTCTATAATCAATGGTATAACTATTGGTATAAATATCAATGGTATATAAATAATTTACTAACTTATTCAATTTTTTTACGTACACTTTTTTCCTTAAAGTCAACAAAATTATCGCATTTGAAAAACAATTATCCTACTCGGTACCTATATCCAAAATATTTTTATCAAAATGGTAATGCTTCTCTCTGTAGTTCTTCGTTAATTTTTTTCAAGTAATATTCTCGATATCCAAAATAGTTTATAAATCTTGARCATATACCGTTGTTATAACTATAYATGGTACKTACATAGGCGTGTTTGTGTTCGAAACGGCTTAATAAAAACATTTTTATCAATGTTTTCAATTATTACWTCATAGCAATAATTTTCATAGGTTTTTAAACAAATTTGTTTTGATAATCAAGCAAATAGCAATAATACATCATTGATGTAGGCTTAGTATGAATTTCAACGTAGTTACGCGTATAGGTACATGCAACATTAACATATTAGTTTTCGAAGATTTGTAGTAGGTACATTCCGAGTCAACGTTTAGCACAATAAAATAAATCTTTTTGAAAAACGCTGATGTAGTTTTTTCAGTTTTTTTACACTTAATAACTCTGGGTATTAAAAAAGTTGGGTGTCATCCATAAACTGTGAGAAACGCACAAACGCAAAATTATGAACTTAATCAGTATTAGGTATCCGAGTAAAAAGTTGCTCAAGATAACTTTTGTTTTTCGTAATTTATTATTAGAAAATAAAAACTAAGATACTTTTAAACTGTCGTAGGTAGGCACACTGGTTTAAATTATTTATCGCACCATAGCTCGGGTTTAAATGTTTTTTTTAACCGAATGAGTAAGTATACATAGTCATTAATTATTACAAATGTAATATATTATATGCAAACATAATATATTACGTATCTATTTATATTGTAAATAGTGTAAACAGATGTGATATAATATAATAGTTCATTTGGTGAGAGAGGGGGGGGGTTATATGATACCTAGTATTTACGTGATAATGAATTTGCAATTTAGAGGGACTTGCTGCATGAAAAATCTCGAGTATTTTTCACCTGATCAACAAGTG